TATCTTTCGGTCCCTATATCTATTTGTCTGTATATCTATCCATAAAAAGCATAAAACACGTTTCAATAATATACGGCGCAAAAGAAAATATGGTCAGTCCAGTTACCGGGACGGCCATATTACCTTTTCGTTGCGTGATATGAAATCGTGTGCTATGCCGGTATTTCAGTTTGACCACCAACGCAAAAGCGAAATATTCGCTTTTTATCTGCCGGTTAATCAATCTCTGTATCAGTCAGTCAATCTATCCATCTGCCTGTGTCTATTTACCGATCTTTCTATATCTCTCTCGACCCATCTGTCTATCGATCTATCTCTCTGTCTAAATATTTATCTACCTGTATAGTTAAAAATGAAACGTGGCTACCCGCAGATCTATCTCTCTGGCTAAATATCTATCCATCTTTAAAGTTAGAAATACAATGAAGACAAATTAACCCTGGAAAGGTTGCAATGCATTTTTTAATCTCCTTTCGCATCGGAAGCAGACTAGATGATTAATGCAAAAGAAGACACAGAGAGTCTTAAGAACTGCATGTTGATCAGTTTGCTATCAATCGTCTGCAAGGTCTTCACAAAGGTATTGAATGGCTGACTTACAAAAAACGCAGCCAAAGTAGTAAGAAGGATTCAGAAGTTCTCTGAATACGATGAGTTACCTCTTGTTGATGCAACAACTAATCCAGATAAGCGACAAATATCGGCTTCCTCTCTGAATGGGGTTCATTAATTTTGAGGAGACTCTCGACTCAATCAACATTCGCTCTGTACGGGTTTCCTTCATTAGTCAGAGAATCGAGGAAACATTCAGAGGCCGTATCGCAATGATTTGCAACAATGCAACTGATAGCATGAAGCGTCAAGAAAGCACAAGGGAGTTAAAAATTGAAAAAGACGTTCAATGGCAAAACACAATACGATCGAAGTTATTCACAGCAGCCCAAGAAGAGGTTTTCAGGATATTCCATTGGAAAAACAAAATGCTGAACATAAATAGACATTAATTAAGCCAGATGCGGTTTGCAGATAAAAAAGCAGCACCAAAGAAGAATCCAAGTGCTGATCTACGAAAGCATGGAAGTAGGACTGAAACTGAACCTAAGAAAAGTCAGGTCATATTTCACTGCGTGGCCAGTTGAAATTGCATGATTTGAGTTTGAAGAGGCGCACAACTGCCTCTATTTGGTACGGTCATCAATGCAACGAAATCGACTATGTGAAATGAGCATAAAATAAACATGGCATGTAGAACTTCTGAAAAAATTAAAATGTTTTTATCTGGGAAAGTGACTTTGCGCTTTAAACGCAGAGTCTAGGATCAACATCTGCTACACTTAAGTGAAGTAGCCTGCTTTCGCAGAGTCTCAGGATTGAATAGCACAGACGTTTAGTTGGCGAGTGTTCAACTATATCCAATCGGTGCCCTTCAGTGTAATTAACTAGCTCCTGCTCTTTCCCTCCTAATGAGGAGATGTTCTAATTTTTGACTGTGAGTTCCTACCGTTGGCATTGTTCCGCTGAAAATTTATCTGACGTGTTGTAATCGCATTGCGGTATCTGTCTCCTTTGTTCAGAATGAAGATCGGCTTCATTGCTGCCTGGCATCTTCGTCTTCTTCCTGTCAATATTCGGACGCAGTCACTGTTCTAGTAGTGCTCCAGCTGCCAGCATGAAGCAGGTTTTGATTGTCGTCTATTCTCAACCTGCCTAAATTCACCAACATCCTGTGCGGTCCTTATAACCCATACGATGAATAAGGTAGTAGAGTGTTCAATAACGGCGATAGCATGAGGGACATGTGATTCCACGACCAATATAATCAGATTTCTATGAAGAACACAAATGCTGAGCAAAAAAATTGTCGAAGCTGCGCAAAAACTAGCGTCTCATACTCCCATCCACAATGACAGATTGGATCCCACATCCCTGCTATCCAATTTCAGTGCATATCTCTCCGGTACAGCTTATTAATATTGTTAATAATTGTTGTGCATGATATTTAATTACATGAGTCAGATCTTTAATCAGATTGCCGTCATTAAACAGAATTCTAACAAAACAAGTAAATGCCGATATAATATACGCGATATTCTGTTCATGCGAAGAAAGCGACGTTGAAGAAACAAGTGTGAAAGTGAAGAACCGAGTCCATCAACACATGGCTTGAAAAAAGCTACAAACTGGTAGCATGGCTTGCCATGTTACATAATTACACTGTGGATAAATTTTTGCCATTTTAATTCATATTTCCAGTTACAAACTCACCCGTATACTCTGTTATTATTGCAGCAAAGCCGAAATCATCATCAAAAAAATTGGAGGGCTATAGCTTCTACTCTTTAGACACGACAGACGTCTTGGCACCATGAGATGCAAGATCAACGCGGATCCTACTCTGGATTGACGAGTGATTGCGCACACCGTGAATCGAAACTAAACAATTTAAAGAATGGAATGGAAAGTTGTATTTAAATAAATTCATGCGCAAATTTTAATTCAACAAGAGAAGCTGCCTGGTTCCCCTTGAAGCTTATCTTGAAAAACACCTGTTGGTTTGAAAAATATGACGGGTACTTTAAAAACGGCTTTATTGTAAGCTCATTTTAAAAATGAATTTATAAAGTGCAACCTAAACTTAACAATAATCAAACGCTTGGACTGAAGGAGCTTTTGCAATCATTGGTTACGAAGATGTAACAACATCTTGGAACGTTGTTTGAATCAGACAAAGGTTGCGAGATAGGAGGAAACAGAGTCGGAGTGGAAGGATTCATTGAACATGGCTACATGCAGAGGCAATGGCTGAAAAATGCACTATTTTTATGAGGTCTTCAACACCGTTATCCGTTGTTCATAACGTCAACTGATTCTTTTATATAATTTCACCTCTTATTTTCATTGTCTATGACCAATCCGCGCTGATCAATTGGTTTTAGAGCAGTTTCAGTACAAAATGCCAATGCTAAGCACATCCAACGTAACACAGGCGATGTCTTCATTGTTCGATCTCATGGGAGCGAGCGCTTCCGGAAGTTTTCAAAAGCCAGCCCCCCCATAGCATCCGTGAACTGCATATTTTTCGGTAATTTGCTAGGCGAAATGTGCACTCGGTCAATACCACCGGCAGTACTTTACTCCCGTCTTTCAGTAGTGCATCTGAATGCTTCCGCTTAGCTTCAATCGGTTGTTTTTAAGCTAAATCAGTGCATTAATTTTGTCTTCGCAAAACGATAAGGGGAAAAAGGGTTTACGGACACTATCTCGGATGATAAAGCATTTAATATATTTCATGAATTAATAAATAAAATAATGAGGGAGACCTAAGTGGTTTATAGGAGGATGGAAGGAAACAGAACGAAAAAAATGATGAATGAATTAGCAAAGAAAGCTGAAATTGTAAATAAATTAAGATGGGAGAGAAGCCCGAAAGAACGGCCGAATGGTTAGAACAGGGAAGGACACAGAAGCTAATGAGCAGAGACAATAAGAAAGAAAAGCAATTTGGAGTATTGCATACACTTTTCGATGTGTACATGATTGTCAGCAATCTACAAAAGTTTGCGACAAACTGTTTCAGTTATTAAATTCACGATGTTTGGGTAGCCTTAATATTAGATATTTTAAACACATGTCGGTGTGGCAATAGTCTGTGCTTCAATGTATTCACAAGTGGATTTTATTATTATTAAATAATTATTTATGAACACGTGGACAAACATAACTGCCCTGGCAAAGTCTGCCCTTACAACAGCGCAGCAAAAGATCGACGAAGTTTTGGACATTCACGAGGAAAATGTCATTGACGATGCAGTTGTCGGTTCAGGCTTTGGAGGTAACCCAACAGCCTTTAGTCTATGACTGTTTCGACGTTCATGCTGGTCTGTTTTTAGTTGACTTTCAGCAGCAGAACTACTCCAGAGGCGATCTACTGGACATTGATATTTCTGCGATCGAATCTGTGGGCGATTCGGTTGACTCTACCAAACATTTGGGTCCGTCACCAGACATTGATGACATCAGTCATGTAACATCGGAAGCATCGTGTAATGCGGCGTTCAACTCGGACTGTGGTTTGAATTCAACTGTATCGTTCATAGAGCAAAACTTTGGTGACATTGCCTACAGGAAGCTCAGTTTCTCGACTTATGTGGAAAAAGACTACCAGACAGAAGGTGAGTTGACACTGGCATTTTTTCGGGTAGGGAAAATTTTAAAACCGGGAAAAGACTAGTGCAAAGTTATTTAAAAAACGGGGGGGATAGTGTGTTTGAGCCAACGAATGTTTATCTTCATACAGATGCGCAGGGCAAATGTTGGCTTGGAGTATAGTGACGTTTTTTCTAACATAAGATGGTGTTTGGTCAGCGTGGAATAAGTTGTGGAGTTTTGTCGAACTGAAGCTAATAATTTTCCCAACTTTCGCGACTGTCCAGTAGTCATGTTATAGTAATTTACGGTGTTCGTTTCGTTACGGTTTTTATCACTGTCAGGTTCTTGCTGTTGTTTTTACAACTTTGCTTTTAAGAGAGCTTTAACAGTAGAGTAACCCAGATTTATGATGTCTGACCTTTAGAAACCTTACTTCATACTGATATTAGGCAAAGAAGGTCAAGATGATTCATAAGGTAAAATGCATAGATCATACGACTTGGGTGTATACTGACAAGTTCTGATTTTATGACCGTACCTGAACACCTGTTGCCCCTATTACTAACAGGTCAGTCGCTGTCCGTTACTCGACTGGTTTCACTACCCACAGGGGGACGTGGGGAGGTGGGGTTGAATTTCTTACTCAGGTTTCGTCGATCAGTAACAGTAAGTAATAGCAGTTAATGAAAAAGTTAAATATCACTGGAGCTGGAAAGTTAAGTAATTAGTAAAATAGCAGATAAGTTATAAAATTGTTCTCGATTCTAGGTCAGGGAAACTGAACAAATACCTGTCAAAGCATGGTTCGAGCACATTTAAAGTTACGACTACGAACAACGATGGTTTTATTTTCGCACCCTCACTGGCAGTCAACGATATCATCCGGGCAGACACAATAAAATATTGTACAGATGTGATGATAAAGTGTAAAGTACCATGTAGCTGTCACCTACATAATCGATCCCCTCGGCTGCTAAAAACAAGTGTATGGAACGCTTACACGATATAGCTCCTGAGAATTGACGGGGGTTATTATTACCAGCAGCATCGGATGCTACCTGCAGGTTTGTTACCCATGGTATGTGTATAAGGTCGATGGATAGTGTCATTTAGATGTGTCCGAACAGGTTTTCGTTCGGCCCTGCACCGTGATGCGGTGGCATTGCAGCTGTTGAAATATCATTGAGTCGTAGCTTATTTAAACGGTCCTCTAATCTAATGAAATCAATGGGATGGTGGGCATATACTGTGTAAATCCAGAGAATTGACAGAAGATTGAGTATTTCAGTTGTTGTCATTGGAGCATATGTCAGTTACACTCTTTCGATCACCAAAGGTGAAAGGCCACCTGAAAATTGGGTAGACTGTCAGGGAGAAAGACACGGGACACAACCCTTTACAAAATGGTTGAGGGTATCATCAGTTCATCCGCAAAGAGTTCGTAATGTAATTCTTTCATAATGCCGTTGTCACTTTCAGTTCGATACGAACACTTACGAGAAGGACGAATTAACGATCCAGGCGATGCTGGTTCAGTGATATCACGAAATGGAAAACGATTTGGCGGGTGGAGTGACGAAGACCATAAGTTTTCGACCAAGCGTTTTGCGTTTCTGTCTTTCTCCTTCCGGAAAAATTTTATTACTTATTACTGTAATCATAATCGATGACCTACTCCTTCCGTCATTACCTTGAAATAGACTTCATTTGTAGGCGATATTGGCTATAAGCATTGAGACGGGTTTCGTGCAGTATCCTCCTTATATGCTACGCTGCATAAGACAACGTCATGATTTGTTTTACTTTTTACGAAGCAAAGTGTCGGCAATGAGGAATGTACTCATCACACACTTTTCTATTTCAGGTGAAACAGAAACCTGTGATTCAGAAGAAAGTAGCTCTGCGACTTTGGTTGGAAGCATCGCCGCTGGGCCTTCGGGGAATGGCAAAAGTACTGTTTCGTCGTTCCCCGACCAGAGATCTGTCTCAAACGTCATTCCGTTGTCCTTTGTGTCTCAAGAGGAGGAAGAATCTGCGGTACAAGACGCCGATGGCATTTCTGCAGCTCGCGACTGCATCCATCGCATGCTTAAGTTGCTAGAAGAAAGTGACGATTTTGGTCAACCTGAATCTCGCTCAAAGGTGCAGATTTGTGGAGAACAGATGGTAATGGCCAGCGAACATTCCACCTGCAGTCGCACTAACAGCAGTAAAGGCTCATCTCCATCGTACGTCTGATTCAGCTATTGATAGCGATTATGCAAATCAGCTTTTTATTGACAATGTTTATTAATGTTTAGTCATTCTAAGATGGCATTCGAAATACTGCCAAATTGCAAGGGATCGGAAAGCGGGTCTCCGTGCGAGGAAGGAGAGACGACGACTTCGAGCGACATCGAGATTATATCCTACTCACTTGACGACAATAACTCCGACCACAGTTCGAAGTCCAGCATCGCCCACGCCTGTGAAATTAACAACCATGCCATATTCAGCAAGGTGTTTGAAGGTCGATTTGGGGGTAGAGCGCTCTATGGTTTTTAATTTTATTATTCTTTATTATTCTTCAAAAAATATATCTTCGTATACTACTGAGTGCTAACTCAAGAATAACTCCGTCGTGGACCGAATTTTACGATGTCTTATCGCTCCAGTGTACGTAGTTGCCATGTGCGGATCATCTAAACGGGTCCCGGGCCAATGGCAAGTGACCACAGGCAGTGTCTCAGAGCATTTTGCATGATTTTGTTCGCTAAAACAACCTTGTGCTCGTCGTGGACGGTAGTTCAAGAGCTGGTAGCATTTTGCAGTTCGCTAGTCTATACACATCTGAATATTGTTTTGCATGTTACAGAACCAAATTTTATGGCATATTTCTCCCGAGTACTTGCTTCTGAAATATCGTTCGCCGTGGGAAGGAGATTGTTCTGACGAAAAGATTGAAACGAGACCCATCTACAGCTATGGAGTCCTGTCCCGCTTAAACGTCTCTTCTTCGATTGTTAGAAATAGCGTGCTTCGAAACTCTATGAATGAGAGAACGAATGAATGACTGAGTGAATGAATAAATGAAAGGATGAATGAGTATATCAATGAACGAACGAATGTTCAGATCAGTGAATGAGTGAAGAAATGACAGAATGAGCGAATGATCAAAGAAAGGAATAGATTCAATCTTGAAACAGTCTTGCACATGTTAGTTCTAGATTTCAAGAACGCTTTCAGCTCCCTGTGCATTCGTTCTCTACTGGATTCCTTGAGGAACGAGGGAATCGAGAAAATATACAGAGACTTCATAGCTATGGTGGACAAGAATACAGCTGCTAGTGTGAAGCTTTACGAAGCCACAAACAAATTCAAAATCGGAAAGGGCGTTCGTCAGGCTGATGAAATATTACTGAACTTCTTCACTGCAGCTTTTGAAGATGTTGTCATAACATTCCTTTGGCAAAATCAGGGGCAGAACAGAAATGGACACTGTTTAAGCCGCCTGAGGTTTGCGGACGACATTCCTTGTAAAGGTCGCCAGAACTCCAAAAAAATCCAAAATCTGAACGACGCAAGCATGAAAGTAGAACTGAGAATGAGCATGAAGAGGAATCAGGTCATATTTGACTGTTATGTCCAAGCCATGTCTATCTGGAACAGCTCATATTTGCAGTACAACTGAGAATAAGAAATCAACAGTAGATTAAAATTTGCATGGAACAGTTTAGGAAGACTGAGAATGTTCCTATCTGGAAGACTACATTTGTGCTTGAAGTGGCAGGAGTTCTATCAATGTGTTCTTACAGTGGTAACCTATGAGGTGCGAAACATGAACTCTAAGCCTTAATGGTAATGATAAACTGCATACTACGCAAAACAACATTAAAAGGCATGTTGAGAATTGCAAGAAAAAATTAGAAGATGAACCAAGGTATAAGAGCACAAACAAGAGTGAAGAAAGGTAAGTTGAAACTGTGCACTCGTTGCAAGAAGAACCGACCGTCGCTGAACCAGATAAGCATTAGACTGGGTTGCAAAACGAAGTAAACGGCCAGTATGAAGACCTCCCGATCGATGGGAGGATGAAGTCGCTGCTTTAAGATTGGTGAAAATAGTAGAAAAGAAAAATGGCTGATGATGATGAAATTTGCATAGCACGCTCATGAACATAAGTTTACAATATTTATGCAGGCATACAAGAAGTGCCAGCTCTCCAGAACCTGTTCATGGTGGTCATGAAAGTGCTCTAACAGATAAAATGATGCGAGAAATGTGTATCAATGCAAATACTAAAATGTTATTTAGCCATGGCCTGCTCAAATAGTTTTCCACTAGCAAGGAGCAGTGAAATAACGTTAAGAACTAAAGACTTGCTAAGACACATATGAACCCATAGTTTTGAAGGGTGTATTGTTTCTACGATCTTAAGCATGCTAAAATGCAGAAAAATGCTTTATTTAAGCATAAGGCGAAACAGTTGGTCTATCGAGTGACTGACTGGGCCCATCACGGGTCTTCTTCCTGCAATGGTTGATTCGCGTGGAACTGTGATGCCTGCTAAGCACTAATCGAGGTCACCTTGGATTTAAAACCGAAAACTACAACCACATTAGCAGCAGCCGGGTGCCACTAACCTCACATTGAAGAAGGCCCGTGAAATACGTCTCAGATATCTAGTTCTGTCGCTAAGAAGCATAACTGGTTTGCATGTGCTTTAATAAACCCGTATTTGCATGGTAGTATTTGTATTTGGGAGCCTTGGTCATGTATCAGTGAATTATTAAGTTGATCAGTTAAGGACCAAGAATGAAAACGTACTTTAAGAACCGTTTCTTCTTACCGTACTGTTACATTGTTAAAAATTGAGTAATGTTTCCAGCGTTGACAGTTTTCTGCAGAGTAGTGGCATTGGACAAAATATGAACCAAAAATACAGTACATTATCTTACTCTAGCCAACTGCGGGTGAGTACGAAATAATGATGTTTCTAAGACATGACTGAAACCTCGTAAGCACATATTACGTGGTAAAGAATGTATCAGGACCAGTTTCGTCAGCAAACTAATATAGTTAACGAAGTCTCGGGCAGTGACTTTTCTGTAATGTCTTATGTCCAAGCGAATGTTCTGAGCATGTGACATACATAATGAATGCCTCCTGCAGAAACCTGGCACTGAGGTAGTAATGATTCAGGAAATACTTATGCAGTATACTGTATCTTGTACTTTGTGAATAAGAAGAACAGTAAACTGAAGAAGGCAGTGAAGTTTAACTAGTAAAATAATTAAGCAGGTTTAAACAAGCATCATTCAAGCCTCTACGGCGGTTGTATTGGATCAGCAAGAGTAATTTCGTGGCATCTTATGTTCTCTGAACATATGTCATCTTATCTATTGTACTTTTTCTAAATTTGCTTATCTGGCCAGGAATGATGAGTTTTATCAACGCCATTTAAGGGTCTAGAGGTCTTTGGACTATCATTGCAGTTAAAAGGGAACCAAGCTACGTACTTAGTACGCGGTTCCGGTTTAATTCGAAGAGAAAGAAAGATACTGTTCTTTCTCCAGTAGCCTTTTCTTTCGAAGATATGGTATAAGATGCCCATTTGCTTAGATATACTGTCTACCATATGTACTCTTGCTACTTTGGCCTGAGAGTCTGAGGTTTCATTCGAAGCCGTCGCATCTATCGCAGTGACTGAGGTGGCATTTACAAAGCTATTCTTCATTTTTTTGCATAAATAATTTGGTTGCTAATAGCCTTTCAGAGCTTGAATAATATGTTGTACTCAGAACATTGACCTAATTCATTTAGCTTTACTTGAAGTGTTTTACACTTTTCATTATATGTGTGTATTAATAAATGCGAAGATTGTCCAATCCAGATTTTCAGTGTACGTCAACTCATCGATGTTTTAAAGCCAATTGAGCTGGCGGTGGCTCCATGCTGTCTTAGCATCTGCTAGTGCATGAATGATTCTGTTGTGTTGATTAGGCGTACATTAATGCTTGTATTTATATTAATAGTATCTGTTAAACTTTAGGTTTCTCTGAAGAGTCTTTTGAGGGCATGAGTCAAGAAAACCCCAGGCAGCTGACGAAAAGTCCAACACTGAACAATTTGCACTCAGACTTTGACAAAGTAAAGTTGTCTCTTTGCTGTCACATTCCGCCTGTTACCCCTTGACTTTTTTTAGGACGGTTTGCTAGTGAAACAGCAACTTGAAAAGCGCGAAAAAAGTCTCATCGAAATCGTCACTCAAAATTCTATACTGGTATCTGAAAATGACGAATTAAAGAGGTGATTTAAATCTATTTAAATATTTTTGTTATTGATAATTTGCATTTGGTGTCTGTGTGAATGAATTAGAATGCTGCTTCCAAATTTTGTACCTTTCAGCAATGACCTTGCGGTTAGGTTGCTCCATGATTAAACCGAGTTTTTATTGTTATTAATTTCGCCTGATGTAAAAAACCAAATTATTTTTAAACAATTTTTCATAATCAGAAAGTTCTCGATGGCGATCTGATACATATCAATTTCATGACGTTTTAGCCAGCTGTAAATCGAATGCGAAGGTGGTGCGCCTCGAGTTCAACTCTGTGTGTGCCAGAGCTGAGACTTTTAAAGCTCTCAGTTATCCCTAACCTAATCTCTACACGCCAAACTTGTCATGCTTCCTGATGTACGTGTCTTCTCTCTAGCTTATATTGTTGTTTTGTTTTGTGCTTCACCTTGCTGACAGATGCGTAGTTCCTACTACCATACCAATAAACTTGACTTGACTTCCTAGCGTTAAAGACTTAACAGTTAACACCATAAACAATTTATGGACTGTCATATTGTTTGCTTTGGAGGATTGTGCTATGCTTTCGGTTTTACCGCCCAACCATACTATAACGTGTTGACGTTTAGTCAGGATGATGTTGTATGTAGTACAGATTTTCTTTATCTGCTCATTGCTGGCCCATTCATTTTCTGGCTTTTACTTCTCTACCTTTCCCCTTTTCCTTTTCAGCATCGTGCTTTTCTTTTTAGGCCTTTTCCCTATCTTTCCATCGTTTTTTACCTTCTTTCTCTGCGTTTTCTCCTTAAAAACAGTAAAACAGTTTCATATCTGAACACTAAAACTTTTTAAGTTTTGCGCTGACTATTTTAAATTTTTTCTGAATCGTATTATCTTACAAGTTATTGACAATGTCCTTGCTAACAACTCACTTCTGATGTATGTTAGCTCATATATCTTTTAAATATGACCTCTTCGCTCACTACCATAAGCAAGCTTAAATACCCTTTACTAAAAGGCAACGTGACCGAACTGTAGACATATTTCATTGCCGTTTGTACGGGGTAGATGGATATTCGCAGTTACCTAGTCAGTAAAATGGCAGTCATTGTCTGAGTTCAGATTTATCGGCGAACACTTGGTGAACTCCGCTTAAACCATTTGGTATCGCTATTTCTTGTTTTGCTAATTCTCAGGGACATAATTAATTATGATTTCTTTTCATTTTTTTCAGATTTATGGTTCAAAACAAAAACATCTTGGATAAGGTTAGATTCTGTTATTCAGCAGCACGTTTCGATACCGTACACCGGCATTGTTCTCAGCATAAAATACAGCAGAAATTTCACATGTTCAAAGAAGCAGTTGGGGTCGCTTCTGGGCATCTGGGTCGCACGATTCGTGGTTTCTTTATTCTTTGATTACAAGTTTTACGCTGACCGATGACATTCCATTCGGCATTCATGTAAAACCAGTTGACATTCTTTTAACCATTCAGCTCAGGTTAGCTAGGTTTTGCTATGTTTTTTAATTAGCTGATTGACATTTGATCTCTCCCTGCTTGTTGACACACAGGATATTCGTGAGACTAAATGAATGGGAATGCATGGGAATCGATGCAGGAATGCACCCGCCTTATCAATTCTAATTTTCCATGCTTTTTGCCTGTCATACTCATTTAGTATTAAACTTTCACAGCTACCTTGCTGCCAGACAGGTTCGATCTCTTTCACTAGGTGTTTTTTTGGTGACCGAGAGGCATATAGCTGTCAATTTCAGCATGTAATTTAATACCTTATGACTTACTATAGGCAGAAAATGTTTATGCAATGTTGTAAGTACTACATTTTTAAAATAAGGCATGTTTGTAACATAACCCTGCATGCTCTTTTTGTACCAGATACGTAGTATGGCATACAGGTTGTGTAAGGGAATTTAGTCGATAGATCATTCCTGATTTATGGCTTTAAGTTCGACATAATAGCTTTCACCTTCTTGAAAAGAGACTTCACAGTAGCAGACGATTACCATCACCAGTTACCTCTAAGTCTGAGGAAGATTGCAACTTGAGGCGTGCTCCTGAGCACATACTACATGTCGCTTCTTGGTTTTGTTTCTTTTTTATCGTTGTTCATCTTATGCCCCTTCTTTTTCCTAGAAATTTTTTCTTCTGATAAGTCCACTGTTCGAGTCAGTGCCTCCATATTCTTTGATCCTCGAATAAATCTTCCATCATTTCTTACAGTTTCATATCATTATGCATAGTATTTCCCGCTAACGCATAACTCAGTTTAATATAAAAAATTTTTCAAAGTTTTATTCATTTCGATGTTGATGGCGATTAACGCCGACATCTATGAAGAACAGTCCTAAAATTCAGTTGTTTGAGTCGCAATGTAAGGCAATAAATTTTTGTAGCAAGAAGATGCACGATTTGTTTTTATGATGCGGAAAACAAAGGGGCTGTTTTTGCTTATGAAACTTCGGCATGTTAATGCATTAGATGGGGTATATATTCTTTTACCTCTTCATTATCTTTAGTCTCTTCATTTTCTACCATTTTTTTCTCTCGTTAGCCTTCTCGTTTTTCCACTTCCTCGCTTGCACCCTCTTTCCCATTCTTTTTCTTTAGCGCAATTTTATGCCGACCGTTTTGACTTGACCGTATTGTTTTAGGAAGCTCCAAGAGACGATACAACAGCTGAGAAACTCTTCCTCGTCCCGTGTCAATGACGAACTACGGAGCACGTGCAATACTCTGACAGACCAGAACAAGGAGTACAAGTGGAAGATGGAGAAATTGCAGAATGATTTGAAGTACGCGACATTTTTGCATTTCGATGGCTGTCATAATTTCACAGGCACATTTGCAGATGCGGCATGCAACAGTTAAGGCAACTGCTGTCACAGAAGGAAGAACAAGTGCAACAGCTGCTAGCTGAAGGCGAGGAGCTCTCGAAAAAAGAGCTTAAACAGAGCACGCTGATCAAAAAGCTGCGAGAAAAAGAGAAGGAGTCAATAAAAACTGTAGAAAACTTGGAGTGAGTGCGGCTGACGGCGTTTTTCTGCCGCGACCGACCACTGCTCAACCTGTTTTTTTCTTAGGGCTAAACTTAAATCAGCCGAAGAAGTCAAACGAGCCCTTGCTGACAAAAGCAACGAAGTTCACACCAAAGACAGTACGTACCACAGCCTTGAAGTTTAAGGTTTAAAGTAATCCATTTAATATGTCCAGCCCGGTTATTTCACAGGTACAGTCCTTCAGTCCGGTGAACATATCTGTAACTGGCAATGGCCGTTCAAAAGTGATTCTTTAGATAAAGAAGTTCATTCATTTTCTAGCACGGTGATATCTAATAGCAATGAAAACTTACATTTTAGTATCATAAGTCAAAGTTGGGGTGCCATCACGTAACAGTTGATGAAAATTTCTCAGCTCACGTCATGAATGAGCAAGATTTAAATTTAAAGCGGTTTAAATTTATTGTAACAGTGCTGGTTTATATTTGTTGCTGATCTGTCAGTCTTTTGCATCGTTCTGATATGTTTGAATAATTCAGCTTTTTTGGTTACATCAGTTGTACCCTGATAACGCTATGGTGTATTAATGAAATGCTTCGACAAAACATTTTAACGTAGGGTTTATGTGCGTTCAACCATGGATTAAAATGATGGTTCCACGTTGAGCCCCAGTCCTTTTTGTAAAGCATCGTCTTTCAACGATTCTGCATCATATTTCTCATCACAACATCTTTCCCTGCAAGCAGTTTTAGTTACGATTCCAGGCGTTCTGACGTAATTGACATTATTGTGATAGGTATTGTATAAATGAAGATCAGTCAACTGCAGGATTTCCAAGGATGTTCTAACTGCAGATTACAGAAGGAATCAGGGTGAATATCCCTATTGCAGTCTCCTGTTCTTTTCTTCATATAGTGCTTAGTTTTTCATGAGGAAACAGAGAAGGTCCTCACGTTATACTCTTATGATAGAGAGTTATGCCTGGATGGAAGTATGCTTCGAAATACCGGGAAGTCAGTAACATGCTAAAGGAAATTGTGATATGTGGCCCAGTGCCTGAACTTTCGGCGTCTACATTTGGAGGTGCCGGGTTCGATTTCGGTGGAGGCACTCTTTGGCATAACCACGAATTCCCTTGAGCAAAGATTTTACCATGCGCCGTTTCAGACCAGGGTTACTGAATCTGTAGAACGGTGGACTCAGAGCTGAAAAATCCTAAATTCGGACCCAGGTCAAATCACTGAGCTTTCTTCCTTCAAAAATTGATAAAGGAGTATCACTCCATGGGTAGGAAACACGAGACTGCACACTATGCTAGTCACAGTACTGCTGTCGACTTGACTTGAAAATGAGGTGTTCTTGGTTGATGCATGGGAATGGTGATTGATCAGCGACCCTCCGTTAACTTCATGAACAGAAGTGCGCTGTAAATCGCTCCTTGATGGAACTGTATAGAAGAAATTGTTTCAAACTTTCCTTTTCTTTTTTTCAAAGGAGTTAGATTTTAAGTAGCAAAATCAACGTTGCGTCTTAAATATGTATAGCAGTAGTAAAAATCGATTGTCCTATTGCTTACCATGACATTATGAAAGAAGACAGTAACTTGCACTAGAAAATGCAGTTTGCAGTCGTTATGTTTATGCTTTTTATAACGCATTCTGTGTACCAATTTGTATTTCCATTAATATTACATACTACATATTAATGCATTAAATAAAGTAGACGAACTTCTGTACGCGGAAGATGAAGATGTCTTTGAGAATGTCTCAAACGCGTGAACAACTCATGAAAGATGCCCATATTCATGTACAAGTTGTACTTCAGAAGATGAACTGAGTTTGGTCCAAAGCATCAGGATCGTTCAAGGATTTCATACCATTTTGCCTCAGTGCAGCCGACCGAGGAGC